CCTCATATTTCCCTTAAGACTGTGAATAATTTCTGAATATAATTAAATCGGAAATTCTCATTTTTAACTTGACCGTTAAAAAAAGAAAACAAAACAAACGAAAAAGGAGACTGATCCATTTTTAAAACAAAGTCAAACCAGTGAAACTTGAAATGAAATCATGAATGTATCGGTCCGAAGAGATTTAAAACTTGGTAAAAAAATGACTCAATCTCAAACAGAGATTTTAAAGCCTCAAAATGTAATTTGAACTTACACAAATAAAGCTTCAAAATGTGACGAGTAAAACTTTAAATATGTTTTCTAAACATATCACTAGAAAGTGCTCCAAGTACGGCTCACCAAATCAATGAACCGATCTTCACAACGAAGGTGAAAATTCACCACATTAAGATCTGCGGCCAGGGACAATGAAGAAGAAAAAAAACAATCCCAAACCAAATATTTTTAATCATAAAAGAACTAAAAGGAAAGACCCACATCCAGGGGAAATGAAAAAAAGCTAAATCCGAGCCAAATATAAGAGTTGAAAACATATCATAATTTAAGCTAAATCAAGCCCAATACATGGTAAACAGAGCCTACCAAAGGGAACAAACAGAGCGCATCTTTTCAACATTTATTGTAAACATAAATATCAGCAATAGAAACTTTGATAATTTCATTCCAATCATGCATTCGAACAAAGGGTAGCAAGATAAACAAGATATGAACCCCAAACACATTTTTTTAGCTCATAAATATAGTTTCCAGCATGTATTCTATCAAAGGGCAGCAAGAGATGCAATAAATGAGTTCCAAATATATATTTCCAGCTCATAAACATAATTTCCAGCATGTTTTCTATCAAGGGGCAGCAAGATAAACTAGATACGAGCTCCAAATATAATTTACAGCTCATATAAAGAAAAGATTTTCAGCATAGGAACAAAACTGGGCCCATCAAAGGGGTAAAACAGTAAAGATTTTAGCCGAGACATGATATCAAAAGGAGCCAAACCAAACCTAACATATGAGCAAAACAAATGCAAATTTCTCTTGCAAGAATCCATCTCAGAAAGAGTTAAAGCCGAACCCAATAAGTGAGCTAAATGAAATGTGATTTTCAGCTATTATGAAGCCAAGACCGAGCCTTCCAAATAGGCTAAAAAAAAACAGAGAAGGTTTTCCAATAAGGATCCAACTTCAAAGAGACAAAAACCGTTCCCAAGCAAACGGTTTAAAACAACTAAAAAAAAACATTTTCCCTTAAAACTTCACATTTCAAGATATTGTGCCAACAGGTGCTTCATAAAAAAAAAGAATTCTAGCATGAGCTTAGTCTCAAAAGAGCCAAACCGAACACACCAAATAAGCTAAGTAAAATGCAATTTCCAGCTATCATGAGGCCAAGACCGAACCCTCCAAAAATGTGCTAAAATATAGAAAATTTTCCAACTAACATTTAATCCAACATAACCAAAACCGAAACCAAGGTAGCGGTAAAACAGAGAAAATTTCCAACATTTGTTTCAAACAGTGATAGACAGCATGAAATAGATGAGCTTGAGCCAATCATTCATTTTTGAACATAAGTAATAAAGGAGTTTGATAACCCATTCTAACATGCATTTCGAGAGGGGCAAATCTCATCTCAAAACCACCATTACGATACTTCCAAATATCTCAAGCAAGAAGAACAAAGACAACCCACACATGCTTTGTGTTCACCATTTCTAGTGACTATCCATGCTTAAATTTCAAAATAAGCCTAAGCTTCACTTCCAACTACTTTTTATAAGAGAATGGAGATGCCTTTAGATGCTATTCGAAATAGTGTAAAATAGAAGAAGGGAGAAAAATACCACTTAATGCCGACTTAAAGCAAAAAAAAATGTAAGAAAGATCCAATGAAGTGCCTCCCAAAGAGATCTTCCTAAAAAAAACTTCAAAAAATAGCAACCGACAAATCCTTTATACTTCCAGCACACCAGAAGCTAGTCAAACAGAAATTTCGACCGAGCTTTCTTCTTTGAGAAACAACCACCAATGGATGCTCCACGCCCCAACACACGAAAATCAAATTTTAGATAAGATGTTAGTAGAGCTTTCTCCCCCAAAACTTCCAACAGTAAAGAAGAAAGAAAACAGTCTCTCGGACAGCAAAGAGAAAGAACCAGCCTCACGATAGCACAAAAGCCACTCCTCTCCTTTCAGACTTTACCCAAGAGAAGGCAAAACCCTTACAATGCCTCAAATACACACACACAGAATGAAGAAACGAGACACAAAAATTACAGCACCTCCCCCACTCAAAATAAAATTCGGCAAACCCTACGGAATTCCCCAAATGAGGTTTTTGTAGCAAAAGAGGGAGGAGGAAGAATACCATCCCTCACCTGGGCGGTGAGCCGAGCCAAGAGAAGCGACAAACCTCGCGTGGGGGGAAAAGCAATTTAAATAGAAATCCGGCAGCACCTCCCCCCTTGAAATAATTCGGCCAGCCATGAGGAACTCCCTAAATAGGGCTTTTATAGCAACAAAGGAGAAGAAGAAGTTATTTGCACTCACCTGAGCGGTGATCCGAGCCAAGAGAAGTGACAAGAGTCACGTGGGGGAAGACGATGACAGAGGCGAAGCTTTAGGCAGAGGAGCAGCTCGCGTGGAACGGCGTAGAAGCCCTTAGCCAGGGTTTCAGTGGGGACCGAAAGCTTCGGCCAAGAGAGGAGAGGAGTTCGGCGAGTAAGAGGACAACAGAGATTCGCGATTCGGGATGCCGATTGGGGAAGATTCGGTTCGGCCCCCGAGGGATCCGCCTGGATTGCGAGCGAACGAGAGGGAGAGGAGAGCCGTGGGGCCGCTTGATCGGCTTCGGTGCGACCGATTGGAGGAGCTAGGGCACGGGCATGGACGAGGGGGAGACGAGCCGAGCGCAAGACCGATCCCATGGAGAGTTTAATCGTGCGGGAGAAGGGGAAATAGAGATTAAGGTTTTATAAATATTATATAATTAAAAATACAAGTATGAAAATACTTAATTTTTAAAGAAAAAATTTGATTTGCACATTTTAATTCGTGTGTGAAATAGTTGCAAATTGGATGTTCCTTTTAAGTAATTTTGACGTTTCGGAAGCACTGCGCGGTTTAATTCGCCGTCGGAGGTCATTTTGACGAATTCATCGATTTGCGTGTCAATTTTCTTGTGCAAAAAATATGACAATATGGGTGTCCTTTCCTACCAAAATTAGTGTCCCGAATGCGTTGGCGCAGTCTATTTTGTCGTCGGAGGTTATCCGGAGAAGTTTGCATTTTCACCCGTTCTTTAGGCTTAATTGAAGTTTGATTTCGTGCAATTTTGTGAATTTTGTGCATTTGGTGTGTGTATGTGACGAAAAAGTCGTGACAATGTTTTCCTAAGGCTTGGAGTCCTATTAGGAACTTTTCCCTTGAGTCTTCAGTTTTCACAAAATAGCCCATAACCGCTCGTTCATAAGACGATGTTCTTGTGCCAAAAATGCTAGACATCAAAGGAAAGAAAGAAGTGTCTAGAATTTCTAAAAGGATGGGTCATAATTCTAGATTTCTAAGACGATCAATGGAACTTCTAGAGCTAGATCCTAAGACCCTAAGAAAAAAGAAATGACATAAAAAATGAGGTCAACAGGACTCTATATATCCGGGTGACCGATAGTAGCCTTCGACGTCCCTCGAGTATAAATATATAGTATCCGAGCCTAGGCTGACCCGAGTGCTTGCGGTTTTCTCTCTTCGGATTTTTCGTGTGATTTTATTGGAATTGTTGGAACTTTTAGTAAAACACTCGTGGTCTTTTTTCGGGATCTTCCCGTATTTTTGGTGACTTTCTTTGAGTTGTCATTTGCTGTTTTTTTTGCTTCGAGATTTCCGTCGTGAGTCATTTGCCGATTTTCTCAAGTTTTTTTCGTCGTGGGTCATTTGTCGCTCTTTCTTGAGTTTTCCAGATGGTATTTCTTTTGTTGATACAATGCATGCTAAGCTCATTTCTTAAATTCTGTCACTATACTTAAACCTGCTACATCAATCATATTTAAAGGAGCAGCAGACCTCCCAGGTATACAAGTTTGATTTACATTACAACATTTTACTTTACAGCACACTGTACTGTTCTTTTCTATTGAACATTCTACTATTTTCCTATACCACATGCTTTAGTGCTCCTATACATACTGCACTGTCATTGCTTTCTATTGCTATACCTGCTACTGTTTCTTTTACACACTATACCTTAGAGTAGGAGCTTAGTAGTTGGTTTTATAGGAGGTATCCAGTAGCAGATCGTTAACTCAACAATTGCATGTACCCTTAAAATTAACATCGAATCCATACATAAAGTTTCACAGGTCGAACGGATGTCACATTATTCTTTGGTTTGGGTGGTTGAGCCTACTACAAGTGATATGCTTATTTTTCGGGATAGTGCTTATTTTTCGGGATAGTATTCGGGATAGTGTATTACTTGTGGTATCACGTTCAGCAGTCCAAACTATCCAATATGTGAAACCTGTTTAGTCTCATTTATTTTAAAATCAAAATACTATTTTTTTTAAGAAACTCAAAATTACATTTATATCTATATATACTTAAATTTTAAATTCAAATCCATTATTATTTTCCAAAAGAATAACGACCGACAGTATCTCAAAATCTTTTAATATTGATAAATGAGATTTTTTACCTTGAAAATTTGATTTCTACCTGGCCTTCCTGTTTTGCATCAGAAAGAGGGAGGTGGAGGGGGGTGTGTGTGTGGGTGTGGGTTTGGGTGTGTGTTGGTCCTCTGTTAAGGAGTCTTTCACCTTAATATCTGAATGTAATTTTCATATGTTCTTCCATTTCATTATATATGTTTCATTTTAGAGAGATATTTACTGGCCTTCTCCACTTTTCATTGTCTATTACACGACTACATATTTTTTTGTTTTATATCGACTGTTATCAAAATGCTGAGCATATTGGGCTTCTTAATTGTTATAAAAAAATAGATAACATTGAAATTGGCAACGGATATGGTGTTCCTGGTGGTGGTGCATATTATGCTGCAAGAACCATAAATGTTCAAACTGGTAGGTTTCATTTTGTTTGTTAAGTTCAATCTCTCTAAACAATCGGTGCTTTCAGGAAGAGTTGAGTGATTTTCTTTTTGTTTCTACAACCAGAAGCCAAAGATGGGGACCATGAATCAAACTTACTAGCTTCAAAGGATGGTCGAAAGGAGTTGCCAGATTATCTTAAGCAGAGATTGAAAGCGAGGGGTATTCTTATGGATGAAAAGGCAAATGTTGAACCAACCACAAATGGAAATGTATGTCTATACTTTAATTAGTTAAAAGTTGATAGTTATATTTATTATTTATTTCATAATTCAATTTTTATTGTTTGTTTTCTTCTTTTTTTTGGGTGGGGTCTACTTTATTTCCTTTTTATCATTTCTAGTTTATCTTTTGTATTTGTCGATAAAAAACATCCTTCACCTCTATAATTTCTTGTATTTATACATGAAATAAAAGATGGAATCCATTCCTTAAATAACTAATCAAATTCTTGATATTTTTATTTTTAGTATAAAAAGAAAAGGTATACATATGCTAATTTATGTAACCAGGCTATGATTATATATGAATTGACTTGTAATGTTGATGATATAAGCATTTAAGTGGGACAAGTAAATCAACTTTCCAACTAGTCTTTGGCACTTTCATCCATCTACTATTTTTTTTCAGTCAATCTAAAATTTGATTCAATAGGCATTTTATTTGCCTTGTTGCGAAGAGTTCATGTTTCTTACAGGACATCTAACACATACCGAGAACTAAATATATCTTTTTTGAAATAAGTTGCTATGATCCCCATTATGTATTAAGCCTTTCAAGTTCTTTAATCTCATACTCTTCAAGAAGATATTTGAGATACTTTTCTTGTTGGGTCAAATTTTTTTTACGATAATATCATCCATATATGCCAAGAAAGTGATTTCTTTAGTTATATAAAGCTTATAAAGAAAATATGTTCTTTTCTATTTTGCTTGTAACTTATTGCTAACATTGCTTCGGTGAATGATACGAGCCATTCAATCTGTATAATTAAGAGTCATTGCAATTTTTAGCAAATTCAGGAGGGTAATAATATAATCATGGTTTAAATAAAGAATATATGTTATCATTTAAAGGAGAATAATAACATTAAAATAATATAAATAATGTTTCCAAGAAACTCACTGAAGTACTATAATAAGAGGAAGCCACAGAGCTTTATCTTTTATTACATACAATCTATATTTTATTATCTTTTCAACTCAACATAATTTTCTAATACAACCCACTATATATATGTGTTAGCACTAAAATGTAGAATATTACATAATTTCATGGACAAAAAAAGGAAGTTCTAAGATCTTTATTATTTGACTATATATTTAATGTCTTAATTAATAGATATTCAATTGTGAAGCATTTAAAACTTTTTGTTTTGTATTGATACCTTAGTGGAAGGTGGAGAGAGTGGAGGATGTTTTATGCTTGATTCATTATTTTAGGCCCTTTCTCGTTTGAAAGAGAATAAATCCCAATTTCCTTTTTGATGATCGATATTTTCCTTGATTATTCTACATTTAATTGAAGGTGACGATAACACAATTTTCCTCATTTTTTTATTTGAATAATTAAATTGAAGTTGACTTCTTTCTAAATTTAAGTGATGGTCATGTTTGTAATGAACTTGATCATAATGATAATAATATTCATGGTTTAGAATTGTTCAATGTGAGGCGTTCTTCAACGCCTTTCAAAAATTTTTGCCATTAGGCATACGTCTGACAATATATGAGGCATTGTTTAAGTGCCCTTCACCTCAAAATTTAAGATGTGTGCACTTCATATTTAGGGTTGAGGTTTTTTTAAAAACAAACATAAATAAAGAAAAGTTTTATCTTATATGCCCTATTGTAGTGAAAATTGGAGAAATATGTACATTTTTTTTTTTGAAAAATATGCTTGAAAGTTTCTTCTGAACCAAAATACCCATTCTTTTAACCAAACTTTTTTTCTTAAGTCAGCCTTAATATTTAAGGTTGTGCAATTGGATATTGTGGGTTTTTGAGAGGTAAACCTTAAAATAAATAAATTGTGAGAAGTGCGAAGTATTTTACTAGGTTCAAACTATTACTAAGAAAGAACATACTAACATCCTAACCTATTAATACATTAAAAATAATATATTAGCATTCTAAGAGAAGATAAAGTAACAAATTGTGCAAAATTAAAAATTATATGTTAACATCTAAACATCAGCTTATTAAATAAGGAGGATTATATATACATCAAAGTAATACATAATAACATAATAATTAAATTAAGGTTGACACACTTCTATTGTCATCCTTCAAAATAAGAACATAACAAGCCATTAAGTTTAAAATTTTTAAATTCAAATGTCGCCTTCTCATTACTTTATAGGCCTTCATTAGAATCACCGACATTATGAATTATTTTTTCTTCCATCTCATCCTCACTTGTGTCCATGTTCTCTTATTCCTCATCATCTTTAATTTAAATTCTCTTATCCAATCAATAAAAATTAATAAGAATATTATTAAATTTTAAAATAATTATTACGTTGATGCTTATAACTTCAATTTTATCCTCAGTTGTGTATTATTTTGTTAAGGAATATTTTATTTAGCGCTCGGTGAGGCAAGTCTCATGTGAAATTTTCAAGAAAGCAGTAAGGCAGAAATTAAGGTTCGTTTCATTTCATGTAATTTTAAACCATGGTCTGCTGTGACCTAAATTGGTTTAAAAAACGTTTGAACAAGCTTCAATTAAGGTTGAGTTCATTGGTGAGATAACTTGAGCCATGTTTGAACATTGCTCGAACCCATTTCAGCCATGTGCTTTGATTTGAAGATTGGTTTAAACATAGCTATACATGATTTAAATCAGGCTTTTACAAATTTTAAATACGATATACTTTAGTAGCTATAACACATCATTAACACGTCATAATGAAATGCATCATGTCTATACGTAGAATCTATACAATCAAAATGAGATCCATTACATTAAATCAATGTAGTTATAATATCTCTCACAGTGATAAGGCATAATTACAATAGTTATAATGGAGTTGACAACAAATTTGATACAACTGAATACAGTAATAATATCTATAACACAATGCTGAAAGTAAGTTCTCAATGTTAGTTTAACACTTTTTGCTTTGTGCATGTTATTGATTTTTTGGGCTCATGTATCAAAATATCTTGTTTATGTTTGCCTGATGAAAAATGTCTCAACACCCACTTACACAATTTTACATCTTGATGGTGGTATAACAAATTTTAAAACAGGAAATTTTCTTATAAAGTAATGATACTTGTATCATTTCCAAAAGTGAACGCTGAGCAAATGTACATGCATCATGATAATCAACACGTTGAATGTTGCTTGAAAGATACTTCAAAATCTTATCAAATTGCTAAATTTGCTTCATGCCTATAAATATTTAATTTTTACCACAACTTTTTTATTTTGAATTATATTTCACCATACTTCAAGTAACTCTTTTCTTAGAGTTAAAATACATTTTGAATGTTGACATATCATTGTTTATTTGATAAAAGAAAAAAAAACCCTAAAATGAAATAAAATAAAAAATAACTATGAAAGCAAAGGCAAGTAAATAAATAAATTGGAAGCAAAGTAAGATAACTACCCTTAATTAAACACAAAGAATTCAGGTTATTCATTCCAATCAATTTTTCTATTAGGGTTGACACTTGTAAAAAAAAAAAAAAAACTAAATAGCTTTCAAGTTCTAAACTTATTGCATGATTGAACAAAAAAAAAAAAAAGAAAAAAAGAAAAACAAAGGGAAACTCTAAATACATTACAAGAAAGACAAATACATTTCCTTATTTTTTTGTAAGTGGATTGACACACATCTAAGAATTAACATAAGATTGCCACTAAGCTTTTAACTCTTTGTAGGATTGATGGCAATAGAAGTTTGAAAATTTGAAAAGAAAAGAACCATTAGGTGGAATTTGGAAGAACAACTATTTAGGTAAACAAAGCAAAGATAAGTATAGTCCACCAAATTTTACTTCACATGCAATAGATATTTAGGTTTTTAATTCTAATATCAAATGATGTAGGTGGAGAGTGAGTTACCCATGACAACATAAAGATAATATTAATAGAGAAGATTATTTGCATTCAAAATAGCATAATAGTATAGAAAAAATAAATTGTATTTCTTTTTGAACTCCTCAAAGAACTCTATAGCAGAAAGCCACAAACCTCACTTTCATTGCATAAAAGAAACATCTTACATTATTTCAACAAAAAACAATATTTTAGTATAATTCACTCTATATTTATAAGCACTTAAATACACATTATTGCTTAATTTTATGGATGAGAAAAGTTTAAAGATCTTTAGAATGAGTGTGCATCTTACTTAATTGAAGGCATCTTTGATTATAAAATGTCCAAAACTTTTTTCTTTGCATTAGAAACCAAGTAGAAGATGGAGAGGGGGAGGATTCACTTGGTTTCTTGCCTAAGATTTCATTCACCCCTCATTTAAACGTGATTAAATCCAATAAGTTTTTTTATATGATAATCAATGTCTTCCTTGACTGCTCCATCTTTAATTAATGGTGTTGATGAAATATATTTTAAAAAATAACTTTTATATTTAATCAATACATATGAAGTTGTCTTTTTTCAAATTTATGTTATAATCATGATGATAATAAATTATTTCTAAAAGGATTCTTGCAGCATAACAATTTCTAAAATAAAAAATCTTTCATAATTTATGACAATATTATATTAAAAAATGGATGTTGAGGATAATGCGCACCAGTTTTTTTTCATATTTGTATCACGATGACTAGCTTTTTGCATAATGATGGCTCTACTTGAAAGGTATTTTAAAATCTTTTTAAACTGATAAATTTGCTTCTTGGTTACAAATATCTAATTTTTATTACTGCCTTCTTATTATGCATCATATTCTTTCTCTCATGGTTTGTACAAGAAAGACAAATACATTTCCTTATTTTTTTGTAAGTGGATTGACACACATCTAAGAATTAACATAAGATTGCCACTAAGCTTTTAACTCTTTGTAGGATTGATGGCAATAGAAGTTTGAAAATTTGAAAAGAAAAGAACCATTAGGTGGAATTTGGAAGAACAACTATTTAGGTAAACAAAGCAAAGATAAGTATAGTCCACCAAATTTTACTTCACATGCAATAGATATTTAGGTTTTTAATTCTAATATCAAATGATGTAG